AAAAAAAAGGTGAAAGGACTCTGCTGTGAGACCCCAAGTTACCATAAAAGTTTTATTTTCCAAACAGATCTTAAACTGAATCCAGATCTCGATCAGTGGCAGATAGGAATGAGATACACGCGAAAGATTTTAATCAAATCAGTGTAGATTATTAGCAAAATCTAGCAAAATGTTACATTCATCCATTTACACTGAGATTACGGCTAATCACAGGACCATGGTCCCATAGTGCCATTTTGTTTTTTACAACATACTGCATTTAAACTGTTTGATAAGGTTATCCAGTCAAAGAATAGGACTGAATTAAACATACCAAAGGTGAATAAAAACTCATCATCACATCATCTCAGAGAGCTGCTGTGTACCATCACTCAGTAGTTGCTACATGTGTATTTAAGGACCATTAAAAAATATTTAAACTGCCAGTATATTAAAATAAAGGATGCCAGGTTGGACATATTCAGGATATGAGTATAATTTCCGTGACATGCCTCTGCGGTTTCAGACTGTAGGGGAGTAGGACTCCTCTTCAAGGCCACCACGCATTCTTTGAGATGTAAATGGAAAAGAACACCCTGATCTTGGCAGGATCGAGATGTCAAATACACTCCCAAATACATTTCGGCCACCAGAGAAAGTTTAACTTTGGCGTTCTCTTTCAGTTTGTAATAAGTGAAGAGCTGGACTGTTGTGGGCTATTCTTTTTCTTTTGTTTTTCTTTATTCAGAAACATTACCACCGAAGTTAACCTTTTTAGACAATTTTTGACTCTGTACTATGAAACTGTTGTGACAGAAAGTCTAAATTAATTATTAAATGTTATATTTTACACAACTGAATCTGAAACATGTCTAGTCGTCATTACTAGCTCAAACATGATCAGACCAAAGCCTCTTTTTTTTGTTTTATCCACATCAATGACATCATAATAACACCCTCCATGTAGCATACCTCTGACAGTGTGTTGTAACATGCATTCTCAAGAAGTAAATATTTTTATGGGAAATTAGAGATAGGCTTACAAGCAGGTATGGTGGAGTACAGTAGTGTGTAGCAGACCAGTGAACAATGATCAGAGTCCATAAACATTAAGGTGCAAACCCATTTCTCCATTATATCCTCATAGATTAGATTACTTTCCTTATCCGAAATCACAGCTTGTTCGACTACGGTTAATAAAAATGCTTCAGACTCCATGGATTTCCATTAACTTGATGAAGTTTTTATGTGGATATAACGGCGGTATAACGGTGATATATGTCTGAGAATAAAACATCTGAAAGGGGATTGTTTTGTGATTCTGTAGGCTAACAGTGTGAATCAGTGCAGTCAGTGGGTAATATAATATAATTACAGTTTACATCACGATTTTGGAAAAGGAGGTATATAACTTTCATACTTTTAGTACAGCAAGAGCAATCCCCGCCCTGCTTTATGTCTGCTAAAAGTGCCTAAAAATGCTGCTATGGCAGTTATAACCATAACAGGAACATCACAAAAATGAACAATAATGTGAATCTTTTTCTTTTTTTTTCCATGGATACCATGAAAGGAGAGTCAAATGTACCACCTGTTACAGGAAAACAACGTAATTCTCCGGGATTAAGCCTGTTCTCCCCTCATATGTTGCTTGGAGCCAGCCTGGTTCAACAGAGGGATAGACTGAGGGATAAAGGAGAGAAAACACATTCAATTCCTTAGAGAAATTAGATGGTGTCTGTTCTACCACATCATTAGCAAAAGCGGTTAAAAAAGCTCCCTGAAACAGAGTTGGGCTCTTTTAAATAACTTTCTATGTGTATTTTCCGACACTATCACAAACAGAATGAAGAAATTGAAGACAACATTTTGTTTAAATGTACGAAAATACAGAAAAAACAGGATTTTTTTTAAAGACAGTAAAACCCATTTCCTCCCAGACTTGATGGAAAAGTGGCACATTAATGCGGTGAGCAGTAAAAGTGATTTGGGAGATGGTGGAGAGCCCGTGTTGACGTTGGCTGTGTGAAGAGGGAACGGGTCCTGGTACCTTCCAGCTCCGGGTTACAGTGACCTGACTCTCTGCTTAAGGGCCAAACCAGCCAACTCTCCACCAACACAAGCACGAGGCAATAAAGAAATAATATATCTGCTTTTCTGTTTGTCTGGGGGTGTCGTGCTCAGGGCTAAACCGTTTTCCAGCCATTTTATTTTCATGTTTTTGACCACAGAAGACGTCATTTTAACCCTTTAAAGCCCGATCCAAGAATAAAACAAAACAGAAAATGACTTTTTGGTTTGAATTCCTTATTTTGCCTTTTAACTCTGGATGTTTAAATCCAGATGAAAACATCTGTTTAACTGTGCAGATGGAAATTGAACATATTTTATCACCACCCTTCACTTTTCATCTGTCTAATTTAGATTATATTTCTTTTCTTGTTTTTCTGCTTTTAACCCTTTAAAGCCTGATCCAAGAATAAAACAAAAAATAGAAAATTACTTTTTTTTTGGTTTGAAGTCTTTATTTGGCCTTTTAAAGAAATATGTAAAAAGGAAAAACAGCAATACATTTTTTATATTAATAATTCATTACTATGCGATAAATCAAGATTTTTTTTTGTGTAGTCTTCTGCCCCCTGTTATCAGGTGTATCTAATTGT